ATATATATATGTATCAATTTATCCATCTTCTTATGGCATATGTCAATCCTCTGTTCTTAGATTTTGAAGCTGAATATTATTTCATTCCTCAAACCTTATTTAGATTCAATTTGTTTCAGTTGAATTTGCATCGCGTAATGCATGCATGCAACGGATAAACTTTCAAATGTTTCTTAGGATTCATTTGAGGTAATTTTCTCATTATTTATGCCACACTTCTATTTGCTATTACTTTATTGTTCCTTTTCAGAATTTTATTGTGGAAGTTGATTTTTTACATCAAATTTGCTTGTATATGATAATTATAAAATGTTTTTCTGATTTTCGTAAATGTTTATAATGTTCTCAATAATTTTCTAATTTTTTTTCCTCCATTGTAGCTTAAATCACCTGTACAAAAGCTACAATCAATATTAAAAAATGTGTGCTTCTTAAAGTATATTTTGATGGCATTGAATACATTAAATGTGCAAAATGGATTTAATCTATGCACATATGTATTTTTTTTATGTAATTATATTTTATTTTTTATGGGATGCATTTAGTTAGCTATGTTGTTACATGTTTTAATTATATAACGGCAATCTATGAATGCATCAGTGTGGGGACTCCATTGTATCCTTATGGTGCATGGCTTGATCGTTGTCTGTCCTCTCTATTACTAGAAGCTTGTAGACTAAAACCATTAACACTTATGATTTAGGGTCTGTTTGGGGCAGCTGCACCTGCGCTGCCCCAGGGAGCTGCTACGGGGAAACAACTGCAGTGAAGCTGGCTGTCTGTTTGGTGCAGCTTTGCGTAAACAGTTGTGGGGCAGTTGCTTGAGAAAAATAACCATAATGCCCTTGTTTGATAAAATTATTTAAAAAAAAAATTGTGAGGGCCAGATTTTTGAAACTTCAAACGCCGAAATTCATTTCTAAACAGAACAAAAAATTCAGATACACCACAACTTAACATTAAGGTCTGAAAAGCATAAACATACGATTTTTAAGGCTAAATTTTAATTATAAAAAAGTTCAAAATTACAGATATACATCTCACCTCACAGTGACGTTCAAGAGAGAAAAAAAAAAGTCTAAAACAATTACAATGACAATTAATAAGATAAATATATTATTTTTAACATTGAGACAATGTAGCTTTCGTGCTAGACTTTCGTCGAGCGATGCTCTCCATTTCTGATCATTGTCGTCAGGGGAGTCTGTTGAACCATCTGCCCAACGGAAGAAGCGACACTGTTCCGGGATGCTTCGTGGGCAATTATAGAACTTTCTTTCGTAGTTGTGTGGTTGACGTGACGTCAACAGGGAAGTTTGGAGGTCACAGTGACAGACCACTTGTCGGGATGTCCCCCAGAAATTCTGGAGCCCATGTTTTCTTGATTGCAATAATAGATGAAATAACAGTGAAATATTATTACTATAAAATGAAATAGTACAGGAAATCATTTCATTCAAAATGCTCAAACTCATTATTGAACCTGAGTGGAAATTGAAAGTCTTTCCACAAACACATAAACTTATGATTGCTCCTTGAAGAGTGAAGTGTCACATTTGAAATAACGCAGAACACGGACACCCACAAAACTCAGATCAGAAGATGCCCAAATGGAATTATCCAACCACTGAAAGGCACAATTAAGCAGATACATCTATATTTTATAAATGAGCACATTCACAGAGCAATTTAACATCAACACATGTTATTCAAGCTACACCATGACTAAAGATAGTATAGAACAAGTATTTAAAAAACATAACAAATTTACGTGGTTCGGTCGAATTGACCTACATCCACAAGAAAGGATTCAAACATCTTTATTGAGGCAATAGAAAAAATGTTACATAGCTTCCAATCAACAATGACTTACATAGCTTCCAATCAGCAATGACTCCTTCCCATAACCAATCGATAAAGGACCTTAAAAAAATTTGTTGGGGTATCTTCACACATTCCATTCTTTTGTAATACATACAATCTAAAGAAATGGTACAAATTATAATTCATTCCTCTTCATAAAGTAAGAAAAAATAGGAAGCAGAACTGCTTACAGGAAACAGAATTGCTTATAGGCAAACACATGCTCTTCACATTCCACCCAACTTGCAAAATATGCTTACAGGAAACAAAACTCTATATCACCCAGTTCACTTGTAGTGGCATATCTAAACATGAACTTTATATTACTCCTATATATGATCAGATTTGCTTCCAGGTACGTGTTCATCATAAATAAAACAAAACTGCTTCCAGGTAATCCCACCTTATACACCCAGCATAGCACTAAAATACAATGCAATAAGAATATTGCCATGAAAATTTGATTAGTCCCTGGTACAGGTTTGTGATAACTCAGCTTTGTGATAAAGCGCAATGCAATAAGAATATTACCAAAGGAAGGAACAATAAAACATAGCTGCCAATTTGCAAAATATGATGAGGCTTGAACACAAATTTATACGCCCAGCTTCTTAAAGTTCATCCAAAGCTGAAACTGTATAAGATGTGCAAACATACACTTCCATCTTCTGCAGCTGTACAAGAAGTACCAGCTAATGAAGTTATATAAAAAGCATGGCTTCAGTGTACATTCAGAATTTGAACCTTTCCTTTCAAAAAGCATGGTTGCAGCCACCATTAATGAATAGATCAACTGTTGATTACCAACTGCATTGTACATACCAATGCAATAAGATTACAGACATGGGATAATTTTGAACATTTCCTTTCATAAGGAGACCAGAGAAGTAATATAGAACTTCATTAATAACATTAGTATACAAACTAACCAATATAATCCAAGGAATTTGAACTATTCAATAAGTTAAAGCACTTCACCATGATGGCTAACTGGTTGGACAAAATTCATTGCACAATTCCATTGTTGTGTATAGGATTGCATGTAGAAAACATTTAAAACTATCCTTCTACTTGTAAATGATTATAAAATGTATAGAAAAATGCACAGCCTGATTAGAGGTAAGAATTACCAATGCAAGTATTACCTCTTACAATAAAGCAGAACCTCTCACACTCAAGAATTACCCATGCATAATGAAATAATTCTTTTTATAATGCCAAACACGACCCCATTTGAGCCCACATGAACTCAGAGCAAAGACCAAAGAATATTGTTATGTGTTTGACAAATGAATCATTACACTTGCCATTGAGGATTCCTTGGCTTAAAGACCAAAGAAAAAAGACAACAAAGAGTTGCATGAGTAAGGATTTTCTCCTAACAACGCTAGAAATAAATCAGTTTTATATCAACAGATGCATACATTTCTCATCTACCCAAGCTATATAAAGCCACCATATAAAGATTTCCAAGCTATATAAGAACTTCCATTTATCCAAGCTATATAAGAACTTGCATGTATCAAAGCTATATAAAGATTTCAAATATGGAAAGCATGGTTGCAGCCACCATCACTCAATGAATGTCAAACTTCTGATTACCCTCTGCATATCTCAAAAATTGGTATTTGCAATCCTCTTTCTCGAATGGCCAAAAAGAGTTCTAGTTTCAAGTTCCAAATACATACATGTGGCATATACATTCATAACATTTAAATAAGAGTATTGCCATGAAAATTTAGATATTTTAAAATTTAAATATGTGAACACAAAACATTTACAAAATACATATATATATGCATATTTAAATATATGGCATTTACATACAAAACATTGCCAAAACATTTTAAACGTTCCTTTCAAAAAAAATTATATTCTAAGTTAAAATTTTCTTCATCTTCTTAACATAACCATTACAAAAAATGTGATACCACGAAGTGCAAAAAATTTCTTAGTAACATTAATTATATGGACAATATTGACCCTCCAACCAATTCATCTGTAATTTATTTTCGAATGGACGACATTTCATTTGCACCTTCCCCCTCCTTCGTGAAAATGGTAGAATGATCGTTCTCCCCTCGGGCTAGAGAATGACCGATGTGGTATTCAAAAGCTTCAGCTGGGACTTCCTGTTCATTCTCTTCCGCATTGTGGACGTC